CCTCCTTTAGACCTTGTCTCTAAAGTCCAAACTATAACAATAAGAAAGAAGTATGGTTCTCACAACAGCAGCAGAGATGTCACATAGAAATGTGGTAGAATGTAAATCCTCAGATCCTATCCAACATCACTGGATCAGAACCTTGGGAGTGAGGCTCACCCCAGAAGATGACCTTGATTTTCTGGGAAAATCAGGCAAAACAGTCGAGGGTAGGTGCAGTGTCTACAGAGGCCAGAAGAGGGTGTTGAGTGCCTTGGAGCTAGACTTATAAGCAGTTGTGAGCTGCCAGGCATGGATGCTAGGGACTGAACTTGGGTCTTCTGGAAGAGCAGTATGCATTGTTAAACACTGGGACATCTCTCCAGCCCTCTCCATGGTTTTTGTACGCTTGTTTGTTTTTGAGACAGGCTCTCTCACTGAACCTAGCACTCATCAATTACGTTAGACTGGCTGGCCAGTGATCTCCAGGGATCTGCCTGTCTCTACCTCCCCAGCACTGGGCTTACAAGCTCACAACCACTACACATGGCTTTTTATGTGAGTTCTGGGGATCAAAACTCAGGTCCTCGCATTTGATGGCAAGTGCTTTATTAACTTGGCCATCTCCCCAGCCTCCCAACCTGAATCTTGTTTTGTTGTCAGAATTTTTAAACCTATATAAAGCATGTCCTCTTCACAGGGAATAATCTGTGCCAATCGCAAAGGACAAGAAATTAAACCAGGCTCCATGGGAAAAGGAGTAGTGCCCTACGATGTCCAGGTGAGTTGAGAAGACAACTGGTTCAAGAAAGAAGAAAAAATGCTTTGGTTTTCTCCTCTTTGAACTACTGTTCATGATCTGCTTTCATTTTTTGAAAAGAAAAAAAAGGGGGGTAAAGACTCAAATTATTTATTTTATTCTAGATTATAGATGAAAATGGAAATGTCCTACCATCTGGCAAAGAAGGGGAAATTGCCCTCAGACTGGATTCTACTCGGCCCTTCTGCTTCTTCTCTGAATATGTGGTATGAGCATGAAGAACATGCTAGCCATGTCTGAATACAGAAATGGGCCCAAATTTCATACCCACCATACTTTGCTATGTCTTGGGCAAGTGTTAATTACAGGTCTGTTTCATTAGCTGTAAAATAGGGAGAATGACATCCATTTCTTGAGAGTAACATTAAGACAAATTCTCCATGTAAGAAGCCAGTCACAGTGGCTGTCCTCGGAGAGGAAAGGCGGACTGGCTGAGGGAGAAGTTGCACGAAAGCCCTGGCGTTCACAGGAGAGGTTTAGCTCTTATATCTTAGATCCTTTGTGTTCTAGTGCCCTTTATAAAAACCCTGATTGCTTTTATAAATATGATGTGAACATCCCTCAGTGGATGTCACACCCCGTCTGTTCTGGCCAGACTAACCCCCAAATGTCATCTTTGATTGGTAGGACAACCCAGAAAAGACTGATGCCACAATAAGAGGAAATTTTTATGTCACTGGTGACAGAGGAGTAATGGACAATGATGGATATTTCTGGTTTGTCGGCAGAGCAGATGATGTCATTATATCCTCTGGGTTTGTACATTTGCTTTCTTGGAAAGTGATGACATGGCAGGGTGGGAGATCTCCTACTTGAAGAATGTGGTGATCAAAGGCTTCCTCTCCTCTGCAGGTACCGGATTGGGCCATTTGAAGTGGAGAGTGCACTGATAGAGCACCCAGCAGTAGTCGAGTCAGCTGTTGTCAGCAGCCCAGATCCCATCCGAGGAGAGGTAGAGTGGACGTCAGAACCAAAGCATCAATTTCATTGTTAAGTTCTGTCCATGTGTCTATGGCAAAGGCCCACTCAGGGACACTCCTTTAGTTCTCATCAGAGGGTACATTATGCAGGTAATCTACTTTACAAAGGAGTTTTCTATCTCAAAGAGGTCTGGGGTCCTTTGAGTGGCCCATGACAGAAACACCCCTCAAGTCAGGGGTTTGAGCTTCATCCAAGCATTCCTGTGATGTTATGGAGGCTCAGTCTCCTGTCTGCCTAAGATCCTTCACTACAGTTCTTCCCATCACATAGCAATCAGCTCCAGACACAGATAAGTACCCACCCTACCAGGAAGGAGTGAGTTCTTTTTGCAACTGTTTCAAGTAAACTCCACCACATCTCTAGCCAGTGTGGTTCAGCAATTGATGCAGCCAACTGGCTCGACCTGGATGATATGCCGGTCAAAGGCTATCAAGGAAGGTAAGTACTGGTAGTTCTACCAGAATGAAGTGAGGGGACTGTTGCTTAGACAACTCAGAGACTGCTGTTCCATGGGGAACAGATGCTGTGTAAGCAAAAGCATCAGACTCATCTCCTATGCAACTATTACAGCTCAAAATACATTTCTTATTGAATTCAGAACAGAAATTGTACCCAGGGTCCCCCCTAAATTCCCATTTGTCTGTTTAGGAATCACATCTCCCTTTCCTCCTGGAAGTTTTCTGAAGACTTAGCAAATAGAAAAATGTTGAGTCGGTGTGGCTATCAGTACCCTCCTACACCTTCTTCTATGCCTCCCCTCACATATCATGACCTACCACAGGGGTATTCTGAATGGCATCTTCTTGCCCCTCCACTCTGGATCTATTCCAATCTCCAAAATATTTTCTCCTGCCACCACATCTTCATCTTTTCAACGTAACTGATCTCAACTGAATTCCAGAATCTCTGTCAGATCTCCTTCATATCATATTCTTTAGAATCTCCATTTGTCCTGCTCACATGCTTCTAACTGTAGAAGTATCATAGCATAAATGCCCACCTCAAAATCAAGGACTGCCCGATACAATCAAGTGAGCAGAAATGTTAAGCTCCTGTGATATAAACAGAACTCAGCACTCCCCACATTCGTAGTCCACGCCTCTGGAAAGAGCTCTCCAGATGCACTTTATAATCTTTACAATCTGCACCCAAGTCCATTCAGCATCTCTGGGGTTTGCACTGTTAGGAACAGTCCTGCCTGTGTTCAGCAATGGTTCCAAACCATTGGATGTGTCTTACAAGCCGATGCCTTTCCTGCCACAGGTGGTGAAAGCGTTCGTGGTGTTAGCGGCACCCTTCAAGTCCTCCAACCGTGAGAAGTTGACTGCCGAACTTCAGGATCATGTGAAAAACTCAACAGCACCTTACAAGTACCCAAGAAAGGCAGGTGCAAGTTACCTTTGACTGTGTCTGGTTTCGGCTTTACACTTGCTATGTATCCTACAAGATACCTTTTGAGTTTGTTTACTATGACAGTTTTTTGTTTTAAAGTGTTTTATATTTAGGATACTACAAATGATCTTTTTAAAAAAGAAGAAAAAAAAGAACGTTTTAAAATCAACACTGCAGGGGCTAGGGGTATGACTCATTGCTGTGTGAGGACCCCCAGAACCCGTGCAAATGTGGGGTGGGTATGCTGGCCCACCTGCCTATAGTTATAGCCTTAGAAGGCAGAACTAGAACACCAGAGCAACCTGACTAAGGTGAAGGGAGGAGAGCACCAGAGCAAGCTGGCTAGCAAGACTAGCCATATCTGAGAACTCTGGGGTTGATTAAGAGACACGGCCTCCATAAAAGGTGGCACGTGTGCGGTCGCGTGCACGCGCACATACAGAGAGAGAGAGAGAGAGAGAGAGAGAGAGAGAGAGAGAGAGAGAGAGAGAGAGAGAGAGCTCTTCCTGAACCTCTCTTCAAAGGACAAAGAAGCAGCACATGTAAAGACAAAGATGGCTGCTGCAGTACCTTCCAGCACTGGAGTAGTACCAGCTGCTGCTGGATGAGTACAAACAAGACCACCTCATCTCCATTGGCATCATTTGGGCCAATACGTAGTTTGTGTGATCTGATCCAACCATCCTCACTCACACTTTCTCCATTAAAAAAAACTAAATTGGTAATTCTTTGACTTTCAGACAAGAGATGTGAAGGCATCTAAAGGTAACAGTATTATCTTAAGAGAAGAAATCAAAGACAGAAGTTTACGGGCAGGGTGTAAGGTGAAAACTCTGAATACTCTATTAATCACCCCTAAATTCCTCAGATTCTTTAGGTCCCAGCTCTTAAAAACCGTGTTTTAAGAAAAAGGCCTCTTCTCCGAACCAGAGGTAGAAGGCAGTAGTCTCAGGTCCAGACAGAGAAAGCTAAAGAAAGGATGAAGAGATTATTTCCTTTTGGCAGGACACACCAAGCCTCCAAACGTAACCCTTAGCCAGTTTCTCCTGCTGCACTGACAGCCGGGATGAGACAAATGGAACCAAGCCTCATGATGTGTTCTCTATCAATTAGGTGGAATTTGTTCAAGAACTCCCGAAGACAATCACTGGGAAAATCAAACGCAACGTGTTAAGAGACCAGGAGTGGGGCCGAGCATAGCTAGATGAGAATGAGGCGGGACTACGTAATGATGCAATTGTTTTAGTACTTGTTTCCTCAAAACTCAGTGACTATACATTCTTAAAACGCTTTACGATTTGTTTTTTCCCCATTTGCAAATAGGTTTTGTTTTGTACCTAAACAATAAAAAAAACAAAAAAAGCAAAACCTAAACATGTTTGAGATGCTCTTCTGATGCTCAAGCCAATACAGAGAATGGCCAGATCAAATGACTGCATGCCATGAATCTGTGCTTTGTTCTTCTTGTCCTGAGTAATTCAAAATAAAGATGGATTGTCCTAAGAGAAATGTTTAAGACGTCTGTATAACCAGTCTTCATGAGATCATGGGCTCAAGATTAAAATACTGCCCAAACCAGGAGTATAAATGACTCAAAGGCCAGTTTGTGCGTTTAATGAAATTCAGTATGGGACTGGGGTTTGCTTTGAAGTAAATCTTGCAAAATATTTTAAACTTGTTCTTTTTAGAATTAATTATTCATGAATACATTTTAGGACTATCAACCTGGATTTTTGATAATCATACAGGTATCATTATTATGATAAACATACTATACACATAGGAAGCCATTTAACATAAGGCAGAAAAAAAGTACAGGATATCAAACTTTATTGAACAAATTCATTTTTATTTTTTAAAATATCAGAACTTTGAAAACAACCTGAACATTCAGCTGTACCAAGAACAAAATGCAAGTAAAAAATTTTGAAAACTGTGTTCAGCTTTGGAGAAACGTATCTTACAGTACCAGGCTTACCTCCTTTGTCTGTAGAGTAGAGCAGGCACACTGGCCCACAGCACTGGGGTTTGGTTTCTGCTTCTTTATTTTCTGTTTTAACTGCCTTAGCTTAAAACAACAAAAACCAAACAAACAAAAACCCACTCAATTCCCACCCTGGGATCGTCTGTAAACTAACACACTGAAATGTCAGTGAAAATAAAGGCGTCAGATCTGAAAGCAAAGCCAGATGAGTAAGTGAGCTTCAATTCCAGGAGCACACAGCACTGTACAACCTGCAAACACCCAGTCAGACTCGGGTTTCACTAAACACACATAAATAAAAAGACAATCAAAACCATAATACAAATCAAAATCTGAAGGGCAGCAACTTTGCCAAGCTCCAGAACTTTGTGTCTGAGCAAATGGTAATTTATCCCCAGGCCCTTCGTCCTACACTATTAAGAAAAGCCTCGTTATTTAGGAGCAAGCCTCAAGAAGGCACCAGGATTTTCTCTTCCCTTTTCCCCTAAGTGATACTACGGCATATCCTTTCAAGATGGTTTCAATCTCAGACCTGAGTTAACGTGTCAAAACCCCTGAGGATGCTCCAGCCCCGTCTGCATTATCGAGGTGCTGCCTGTTCTCTGCTTCTCCCATATCCTCTTGGCAAGGCTCTAGCTATCTGAGAAGAAATATATTCTCACGTCACTGGCTCTTTAGCCACTTGTGCCAGGAACCATAGTATTTATACTACTTTCTAACTTGTTTTAAGAGTTAAGCACAAACCTTTTCCCCAACCTAACGCTACAACCACTTCGCAGTCCCCACCTGGACAGTTTTGCAATGCTCACAGGTCGCTTCCACCCTTTACCATCTCTAACTGTGGGGAATTCCTGAAAGCACAACAAACGGAAAGGACAGCTTGGACAGCAGTCCAGTGAAACCCTGGGGCAGGAGATGTCCGTGGTCATTTATGTACTAGTATACGAAGGGACTCAGCAGAGTGAGTCCTCATCCCTAACTTACAAGAAACACCCATGGGTCTGCACCTACACCAGTCCTCTTCTACCTCACATCTTCTGTAAGAAACTGCAGCGATGGGCCATCAGATTTGCTCTGAACATTAAAACAAACATAACAAGAAAAACACAAAATGTACGAAGCCACCACAAAGTGATTCCCATATAATCCGGTGCCACTTCTCTGTGTACAGTGAAGTGGCAGGGACAGCTGAGCCGTGTGCGGCACATAACTCCCTCAGAATGAGAATGTCCTGCTGATTTCCCACTAAGATGCTGTTCAGTTCCACATCAGGTGGCAGTGCTTAAAGGGAAACCAAAGAAGTTACCAGGAGGCAGAGGCCAATGCCATCCTCCTACCGCCCTCCCCTAGACAACAGTGCATGGGTCTGTACACACTGACATGAAGGCCTGGAAGGACTCTAACAAAACTGTCAACAGCAATTGTGAGATCAGCATTAAGCAGCACACAAGAGCCAAAATATATTATCACAATTTTACAAGGAACCCCAATAGCTTGTTGCAGACCCCCATCTGAGACCCACTTCCCCAGAGAATGACCTATGAGATCTCATTTTCATTTGACGTGGGTCCTTCTGAGACTTGACTTTCAAGTTCAGGTTTAACTTCTTCCTCACTCCCTGCTGGGGTTTCAGACCTTGGATTTCTCTGCCCCAGCTCCTCGCTGCTCTCTGGTGCCACCTGCTGGTTATTTTTCCCTTCTGCAGGATCACTTTGATTCAACTTGCCATCGGGTTCCAATTTTGCTTCTTTGCCATTTCCCAGCTTTGGGTGAGGCTGTGAGTCTTTTGCACTCTTCACTACCTCTTGGAGGTTGTATTTTCTGAATAGCACATAATCTTTCACAACACTCAGGCAACACACAGCTTTGATGATTTCGACTACCACCGTGTATTCTGGATTAGTGAGATCCACTTTATTTTCTGAATTGAGGCTGCCCACTATTCCTGTAACAAAAATAGGAAAATGGGCTAAGAAGGAAGGATATGATACCTGATGGAGTCAAACAGGCTTTCATCCCTTACTATCTGGGATTTGTTAAAACAGGGTTTATAAGAATTTGTTGTTCTATGTGGCCATCAATCAAATTCCATTAATACTTTTGTTTTATTTATTTTCCAGATGGGGTCTCTAGGTAGCCCTTGCTGGCCTGGAACTCACTGTGTAGACCAGGGTGGCCTTGAACTCATAGAGCTCCACCTGCCTCTGCCTCTCAACTGTGGGATCAAGGGCAGGAGTGCACGGATCCATCAATGCTTTTAATAACTAAATACAAATGCAGCTTTGGGACACTGGATAGGAGCAGTGGTGGGGTGGCGATGACTCAGCAGCTATGCACATGCACTGCTCCTGCACAAGACCCATCTGTCCTGGCACAACCGCTGGAAGGCCAGACAGACAACCACCTGTTAACTCCAGCCGCTGGAAGGCTAGACAGACAACCACCTGTTAACTCCAGCCTGCTGGAAGGCTAGACAGACAACCACCTGTTAACTCCAGCCCGCTGGAAGGCTAGACAACCACCTGTTAACTCCAGCCCGCTGGAAGGCTAGACAGACAACCACCTGTTAACTCCAGCCCGCTGGAAGGCTAGACAGACAGACAACCACCTGTTAACTCCAGCCCGCTGGAAGGCTAGACAGACA